TCCACAGATAGAGGGCCCAAAAGGACAAATGGACTAAAATTTTCATTTTTCTTCATAAAAAGTTCTGTTTATTTTGAAAAGTCCATTGTCATACTTTGTTTAAAAATATTATACAGGGGGAGTCGAAAAATAAGAAAACACGAAATAATTATTACGCTAATTATTTAAGTAAAATTTAAACTAGTTCTGTACCCCAGAGCCAAAATCTTCGGGATTATCTTCCGGCTGCAGGTGCTGCACTCGCGTAAAGTTAACGTCCTTCATAACCCTCGTGCAACTTTCCTTATGCTCTTTCTACTATTTGCATCAAAGGCATTGAAAATAGATTCTAATACATTAAGGAGCACCTTCAATTTCGTTACACAGGAACAAAAATTGACAGCAGTGTCACAATGAAGTAATTCCAGTCGACCAAATATTTTACATATTATAATATCAACAATGCTTCCTAAGTATCCTAGCAATTTAAAGAATTCCCCATGGTCATGTATTGGGATTGGCTATCGTTTTTTTTTCTTATCTCGCTTATCCTTTGCGTTAGATAATTTTTATTTTCAAGTATGTGCTTTGCATACTATCCGCATGTTCCCTTTTTATCTGTGGTGCGCGTTCTGGTACCCTGAATACAGTATGTCCACAGATAGAGGGCCCAAAAGGACAAATGGACTAAAATTTTCATTTTTCTTCATAAAAAGTTCTGTTTATTTTGAAAAGTCCATTGTCATACTTTGTTTAAAAATATTATACAGGGGGAGTCGAAAAATAAGAAAACACGAAATAATACTACCACATTCTAAAACAAAGGATTTGTTATAAAGTTTCTCTTTTTTATCTAATGTTTTTTTTTATAAAATATTTGTCTAACTTTAAAATACAGCCATTCCACGCTACTCGGGAACTTTTGTAGCGTCCGTTACAATCAAAAATTGTGAGTAAAAGCTACCGTAATTAAATTAAATACTATTACAATAGTTACTATTGCAAACATGTTTATTATGCTTGTAGTAATTAGACTTAAGCTTATAAGCATCATCATTCTTTGGATAGGATTTGAAATCTTTTTTTTATTTGTCACTTTGCCCCAAAACGAAAAATAAAGGTAGTTTACGGGTATTTTTCAAAAAGTTGTCCAAACTAGGAATTTTATTAAAACAATTATAATTATTATAAATTAGATATATTACATAATATTTTTATAGAATATTAATCAGTACCTATAAGTATTGAATAATTTATGCTTGTCATACATGATACGAACTAGATTGTATTTTTTACGAATTTTCATTGTAGGAAGAATAAATGTTGTCTTTTCCGTGAATAAAGGGCATTACAAATATTAATATAATTTTTTTATTTACATTTTTATTATCCTTTCTTCGATGATTATTTTATACTGTTTTACATTTAAAATATCAGTCTCTTCTTTTTAATTTGAAAATTTCCTTTAACGATTCCATCTTCATTCTGTGTGTTTAAAATTTTCTCGAAATAGTTTTTGGGTGATAAATCCAAAATTTTCATGTTTGACGCAAGCACATGTTTTGTGATCTTTAGCTTTAGGATAAACTATTCAGAATGGTTTACATCCAAAGAAATTGGTGAAAGAAACTGATACTCAAGCAAGTGTCACAGAAAAGACTAATAATAATAAGTGTACGCACTCATATACTAATTAATTATTTCTTATTTACACCTATAAATATAAAATAATGTATTCCTCTTGTTTAACTTTGACACGTACTACAAACTATTATGAATATTTTACCTTGTTGAGAAAGCGTTGCCGAGTTGTGAATATTATGCTTATGTTCCGTAATTTACTGTCAGTACTGAAAACGCATTCCGAAATCCACTTTCAGTTACTGAGCTCAGTGGTACTACTACTACTACCCTTTTATAAATGTAAGGCAGATTAATTTTACTGAAACAACTGGTGACAGAGAGGTGCTGTGGCTCCAGTAAAACACATAACCAAACTTTTAAACAAAAAATAGCTGTCAAATAAAGTGAAGGATATAGATTATATCATAATATGATATAATATCGCACATGGGCGACAACAGTGTCATAAGTAGTAAAACCATAATTCCGAGATAAGTTAACGTAAAACATTTTTGAATAATAAAATTCTGACATTTTTGTAAAATTATATTAACTTACAGCGTAAGTTAATATAATTTTACAAAAATGTCAGAATTTTATCATTCAAAAATCTTTTACGTTAACTAATCTCGGAATTATGGTTTTACTACTTATGACACTGTTGTCGCCCATGTGCGATATGATAATATGATAAATTATTTAAGAAAATTTATACACAATTTTGCTGAAATTACTAGCCTATTAAGAGATTTATTAAAAAAGGATAGTCATTTTATTTGGTTGCCTATACATGAAACTGTATTAAATAAAATTAAACCCATTGGTGTGGTCGAATTTGATTGTTGTGCAAATAATTTAAATTTAAGATTAAAGTTTGTTGTTGTTAAATGTGATTCTGATATTTTAATAAGTTGCGATGCATGCTCTACATTTAAGTACATAAATATTGATGAGATTAATAGTAATGATAATGAAAAAGATAAATTAAATATGTCCAATGAAACAATTAACAATAAAGATCAGAATGTACAGATAGGTAGGTCTAGAAGAGAAATAAAAGTACCAAAAAGATTTGACGATTTTCAGATGTATTAATTTAGGCTTGCCTTTATGTATGTTGTGTAAGAGAAGTTAGGTGTAAGTTAACTTAGGTAATAAAAAAAAATGTAAAAAAAATGTATTAGAAATTAGGAAGGGAGATGTTGTGTAGTTAACATCTAAAAATATAGATGTCGCTCTTTAGTGTAGTGAAGTTAGCACATAAGTTAAGTAGTAGTTGTAATGTATCATAGATAATGTATGACATTTTATGTATATTAAAATAATTAATAAAATAACAAGTGCTTCATTAAAACAAATAAGACTGGTAAATAATAAAGTATAAAACAATAACTGTATTTGGTGAATACCTATAGGGCTAATTATTTCAATATTTATTGATAAAATATTACTTGAAAGTACAAGCAGCATTGACGAAGGCAGGTCGCCGGGGAGTACGCATACAAAGACCCAAAATATGAAACTACCTACTAGGTAGTACCTAGAAAATGTTATATATTTGTATTCAGCGGACGAATTTAAGAGTAATTTTTGGTGTTTGGCGTATTGTTGTGGTGTCAGTGAAATTTTATATTTCCTATTTCTATATAAATTTTTCGACGCGGACGACGATAACATTAAATTTTCCATATATCTCTGCCAAAAACCAAACATTATAACTGTTATATTTATTTTTTATTTATGTTCTCTGCTGTGCCGAAAGTAAAGTTTGTCAATTGTCAGTAAATCACAAATCATAACCTTGCATAACCATTGTCACTTTCTGCTGCTACTGAGGCGCGTTCCAATTTTACTATTGCGTCAGTACTGAATAAATTACGGAACGGTCTTTTTTCGCTACTGACAGTAAAATTACTGACAGTAATGGCAGTAAATTACGAAACACAACCTATATTGTGGTTGTGTTCCGTAATTTACTGTCAGTACTGAAAACGCATTCCGAAATCCACTTTCAGTTACTGAGCTCAGTGGTAAATACTACCCTTTTATAAATGTACGGCAGATTAATTTTACTGAAACAACTGGTGACAAAGAGGTGCTGTGGCTCCAGTAAAATACATAACCAAGGTTTTAAACATAAAAAATAGCTGTCAAATAATGTGAAGGATATAATTGTATTTGGTGAATACCTAGGACTAATTATTTCAATATTTATTTATAAAATATTACTTGAAAGTACAAGCAGCAGTGATGAAGGACACGAATTAATAATTAAAGGAGGATGGCAGGCAGGTCGCCGGGGAGTACGCATACGAAGACCCAGAATATTAAACTACCTACTAGATACTACCTAGAAAATGTTATACATTTGTATTCAGCGTACGAATTTAAGAGTAATTTTTATTATTTGGCGTATTGTTGTGGTGTCAGTGAAATTTTATATTTTCTATTCCTATATACATTTTTCGACGCGGTCGACGATAACATTTTATTTTCTATATTTCTCTGCCATTAACCAAAAATTATATTTCTTATAACTGTTATATTTATTTTTTATTTATGTTCACTGCTGTGCCGAAAGTAAAGTTTGTCAGTAAATTACAAATCATAACCTTGCGTAACCATTGTCACTTTCTGCTGCTACTGAGGCGCGTTCCAATTTTACTATTGCGTCAGTACTGAATAAATTACGGAACGGTCTTTTTTCGCTACTGATAGTAAAATTACTGATAGTAATGGCAGTAAATTACGGAACACAACCTGTGTGAAAATGGCGTCACGGATTCGACATTTTAAATTAAGGGACATCAACTAAAATGCTTGTCACAAAAATTAGTTAATAACTGTTTACACTTCTACAAATTAAATAAAAAAGATTATAAATCCTTGCTGGGGACAGTCACGGATTGGATATTTACTATATTTCAAGGTAATTTATATACATTTTCTATACCTTATTGGGAGTTTTTGTACATAATTTAAAGAGCATAAGGATCTATTCTTCACATTTCATTTCAGTTACGAAAATATTAAGTTCTAATCTCAGGACAGCAAGTGGCCAACTTTTTGAAATATACCCTTACTCTTGATAGTATTTCTTGTTTTCTTGTTTTTTTTAACCCCCCTGTATATATACATATATATATTATAATATTCTCAAATTTAAAGTATGTCAATAGACTTTTTAAAACAAGCAAAACTTTTTATGAAGAATGACTTTTGGTCGAAAAATAAAAAATGTAGTCCATTTGTCCTCTTGAGCCCTGTATCCGTGGACATACTGTATATGTAAAAAGAAGATCAGGGCTGTTATTGTAAGTTTCTATGAAACATTTTCTTGAATTGTTTTTTTCACTTTCAAGAAAGTGTCGCGCTAGTAAACCCTGAAAAAAACTTACCCTATGTTGCGCATGAGGTGCTGACTGTTGTGGATGTGGATGATGATGAAGTTGCGGCGTCGGGGGCTTCACATTGGGCACGGGAATATCTTCGGTGGGCACGATTTGCAACATATTACCCACTTGCACCACCTGATTGACTTGCGGTTTGGTGATGGGCACCTGGATGTTGGGGGAGCTCGCGTTGTAGCCTCCCCCATACTGAAGCTGATACTGACCGTAGGCGCCGTAATGGTGCTCGTACGGCGACGGCGGTTGCTTCTGAAGACCGCACAGCTGATTTATCCGCGTGTCTAACGACGGGCGCTTAGGAGAGTCGGACTGCCGGTTCCTGTCGTTGAAACGCGTTATGGGAGATTCGGAGTACTCCTCGTGCAGACTAGGCTGCGGCAGCAGATCGTCGGAGATGGTGGAGTCGGCCACGCTCTTCTTCGAGCCACCCAGAGACGGAGATTTCGCTCTTTCCTTCGAAGGCGAAGATCTACGTCTCTTAGGTCGCGGAGACGAGCTACGCCTCCTAGGCGATAGCTTGCGCTTCGGCGACTTGCTTCGGCGCTTTATGTGACGCGGTGAAGCGCTGCGTTTTCTGCGCGGCGAAGAGATTCTCCTGCCGCGCGGAGAACGTGATCTTCGGCCGCCCAAGCCCAAGCCGCGTTTTCTAACCGGCGACTCTCTATTTCTTCTACCCGGAGATCTTCTCCGCGGCGATCTACTGCGTCTCCTCTCGTCCTTTTTCTTCGCCGCCGCGGGAGGATCCTTCTTTTTGATCTCCTCTTTGTTCTTGACTTCGTCGACGACCACCATACCCAGTAGGACGTCTCCGTCTTTTTTGATTTCGTTGATCTCCTCCATGGAGGTCAATCTTCGCGGTTCTTCGTCATCCTCGTCGTCGAGATTCAACTTGGTGTCGATCAGTTGCTTCTTCGTCGGTATTGAGAAAACGAACGGCTTCTTCTCGCCGATGTCGAAGCTGTTGCTGTCTATGTTCGGGGACGCGACGGTTTTGATCGGAGAAGAATGAGACGGTACGGGGATTTCGAGGTTAATCGACGCGTTTTCGATGTTTTTGTCGGTCAGTGTGTTAGTCGGAATTGTGTCCGTTCGGGGACTCGGTACGGGTAACGGAAGCGGTAACGGGAGGGGTAACGGTATGTCTGTGGGTGGCAGTGTGACGGACTCTACTGTGTTTTTAGTCGGTTTCGGGGTGCTGGTCAGTTCGTCGATTTTTTTGTCGCGCGGGGGAGTTGTTTCCAGCTTGACGTCGTGTGTGGGGGTTACCTCTTTATCCGTGACGGCTTTCATGAACTCTTCATACTCGTTTTCCAATGCGTTCGGTTTAATCTCTTTGACTTCGAGCTTCACTTTGCTTAAATCCACATCGAGAATCTCGAACTTGTCGTAGTCGGGTTTTGCCTCCTTGCTAACTTTGTAACTTTTGTAGATCTCCTCATATTTCTTCTTGTCCGCCTTGGATTTCCTCTCCAAACTCTCGTACTGCATTTCCAGCTGCTGCACCTTGATCTTCTCGCGCTCCAAACGCAATCGCTCCTCGCTCAAAGACTTACTTTCGTGCTGCAGCAGTTTCAGCTCTTCATCTAGCGTGGGCGGGGTTTTCTCCCGCCTGTTCCTCCTAGAAAACGATTTGATGTTTAGAGGTATCTCGAGGCTGACGTTTGCGACCTCCGGACGGTCCGCGGCAGCCGCGAAGTACCTCTCGCGCTCGAAAACCTCCTCGTCGCTCTCCCAGGACCTGTTCAAATCCTTAACCGCCACCGCCTGAACCTCGTCCTCGCTCTCCCACCGCGAGTTGTAACCCTCGGTATCGGGAGTCGTGGTTTTTGCCTTCTTCACCGCGGCAGGTCTGATGGGAGTGCGACTTTCTTCTTCTTCGTTCGAAGATTCTTTCACTTCTTTCTCCTTCTTCTTACTGTCGCTTGATTTGGATCTCTCTTTATCGTTCGATTTAGATCTTTTCCTCTTCTTCTCTTTGACAACCTTCTTCTTCTCGCTCTCATCATCAGACTTGTGCTTCTTCGATTTCTTAGGCTCTTCGTCTTTGCGCTCTTCCTTCTTCAATTTCTGCTCCTTCTCCTTCTTCGATTTGATCTTTTCCACGTGATCTATCTGCTCTATTAAATCCTCGATGTATTTTTGCCTCTCCTCGCTCTCTTTATCGTCCGATGATTTCTCTTTTTTACGTTTTTTCTCCTTTTTGTTCTTCCTCTCCTTCATATCTTTCACTTTGTGTTTCTTCTTCTTTCTCTTTTCATCGTCGTCGTCGCTTTTCTTCGCTTTGCTTTTCTTCTTACTTCGTTTTTTACCGGGCGGTTCTTTTTTCGCGTTTTTTTTTCTCTTCTTATTACTTTTCGATTCGCAATCGTTTTCTGGTTCCGGGGTTTGCGATTTGTCCACTTTTGGCGGTGTCGTAACCTCCCACGTATCCTCTTTTTTGTTTTCTGAGGCATCTTCATCCCATTTGCTTTTGATTTCTTCCCGTGCGACCGTTGGTTTTACGGGGGATTCCACTTTATTAGTAGTATTCACTTGTTCCTCAACGTTTTCTTCGGCAGTTTCTTCTGCGATGTCTTCTTCGTCGGAGTAACTTTGAAGGAACGAAAGACCCACCGAATTTTCCAGTAATTTACCTTCCACGTTGTCGCTTTTCTTCCACGATTTCGGAAACCATTTCCTCGCTACCACTTTATCGTCGACCAATGGTTTTCTGGAACAACCTTCGTTAAAAAACGCTTTAAAACCACAAACAACATACTTTGATGAACCGCCGTAGAGTTTTTCAATCAACTCCCTCCTCGCACTAGGTATCAAATCCATCAACTGTTTTTTGGACACGAAACTATCCTTGACGGTGTTGTAGTTGGTGCTGAACGAGATGTGCGGTTTCATTTTGGTTTGTCTAAAATTTCGAGATAATTATCAGAAAAAAAAACTTGCCGCTTTTTCGTTTTTACCTAACGTATCGAAAAGGTACAACTGATATGTTCCCTCGTTCAGTTTTATATTTTACATCTGGCGTAGCGGGGGATGGCGTTTCAAAAGTAAAAAACTTGATAAAACTAAAAAAAATCATAAATTTAAAACTGCACCGTTGTTTTATTTTAAATAATTGTGGGTTTGCATTTGCAAATTAAAAAAGTTTATTCCGCAGTAATTATTTGAAATTCGTTCGATTTCGCGGTCAAGCCGATATGACGTCACATCGTTTTAGCACACCCCGAATTATCAATTTTTATTGTAACCATTCAAAAATAGACGTTTCAAATATAGAAAATAAAAATTGAGTGTTTTTATGAATTTTAAGTTTAAAAATGCATATTTTTTTACTCTCAGATTTAAAGCAATGTTGCCAGATGGTTAATTTGCAATTTTGATTTTTCCGAATTTTATCGATAAAAATCATTTTTGGTCAGTTTTCATTCACTTGTCATTTTCTTTCCAAGAAATTAATTATTATTAAACTGATCAAAAATGATTTTTATCAAAAAATTTCAGGTCAAAATTTTCAGAAAAATCAATATTTTAAATTAACCATAGACAATAACAATGATGTGTGATATTTAATGACAATTTGTAATTTTACAGTGGAATGTATTTTTATTTATAAAAGTGTGACATATATTCGGGAAGATTTAAAGCAATGTTGCCAGAAGGTTAATTTTCAATTTTGATTTTTCAGAAATTTTTCAATAAAAATCATTTTTGGTTTGTTTTCTTTCACTTGTCATTTTCTTTCCAAGAAATGAAGAAAACTGATCAAAAATGATTTTTATCAACAATTTTCAGACCAAAATTTTCACAAAAATAAAAATTGTAAATTAACCATAGATAATAACAATGATGTGTGACATATTTAATGACAATTTGTAATTTTACAGTGGAATGGTTTTTTATTTACAAAATTGTGACGTCACAGGTATATTTGGGAATATTCCGGAGGTTAATTTAAAAATTAAAAACTAATTACCTGTGTTTCCAAAAATTAACAACAAATAATAATGACCAAATTAATGTACCACTTTGAATTAAGACCATTAAAAAAAATAGCAAACCCCTATTTCTGGTAAAAAAAAAACTCTTTTACTTACTCTGAAATTGTACCAGTTTTTAGCTGTGAATCTTTTCCAGGTTTAAATTTTTGTTCCTTATATTCAAGCCAATTTTTAGGATAACTATCCCTTTTTTGACTTTTATGACTTTTTTTCTCATCACGAGGAGATGATTCTTTAATTTCATCGGTTTTCCGATAATTTCGAGTTTTAACTTCCACCTTTCGAAAATGATTATCTGCGTCTATAATTTCTGTGATAAAAAAATTATATAATAAAAAAAACAAACAGTTAAAAATATTATACCTGATGTTGACGACAAACTAAACATGCTTTTCGATAAATCAATGTTAATTTTATTTATTTCATCCAGTATTTCACGTTCAGGTTTTACCCGTTTACAACCTGAAGACATTTTTATGGATTCGATTTCTTTAATTGTACTTTTAAACTTTTCATCTGGATAAAGCTCTAAAAACAAGTTTTAAAATTTTCCTACATCTGACAACATTGTTTAAATGGTGGTCTGTGATTTAAATTAATATTTTATTTATTTTAAAAAGAAATGTTGCCAGATGTAAACAAAATTTGTTGGCTCAGACTTGACATACCTTTTTTTGCCTTTTTAGGTGAAATTTTATCATTTTTGTCGATTTCTTCAGGCGTTTTTTTGGGCGAATTACTGGCTAATAAAAGTTTGTTACTGGAAAAAGCTTGCAGTCTTTTTTTGGCTTGCAGGACACTTTTAAAGGTTGGTTTTGCGGTTAAGGCATTTCCATTTTTTTCGCTGCTTTCCTCGTCTTCGAGGGAATTTCGAGGGCTGTTAATTGAATTACACCCAGTGGAGCTGACGAAATCCTCTGTGTTCTCATTATTTGTTAACTTAATGTCCATTATACACTATCTAAAATAATGTAACCTAAAAATACTACATTATAGAATTTTTAAGCCTTACCTTTTAAAATTACTATGCACCATAATGTTTGAATTTAGTTAAACTGCACCACTTTCATTTTAAATTATTTACAGAGCCTAATTGAATTATAACAAAAATTGTTTTAAATTATTTTTAGAATGGTCGGTTTTCACTAAAAGTACCCAACTTTAACTCCTAAACTCCTCCTAAATTATTCTACAATCACTTAATTATTTATAATATTAATTAACTTATTCTCATAATTGTTTAATAGTCCTATATTTGTTTTTAGACAATTTTATTTTGACAACACACGGGACGACAGGGAAGTCAATCAATATTTAGGGGATTTAGTTTTTATGCAGCTGTGGCAGCACTGCAGGCACGTAACAAAAAATTAATTTAGAACTATCCTGAACAATAAGGAAATTAAACAATTGTATTGCCTTTTAAATGCAATTTCTTCATTAAAAACACAATAACATTTAAATAATTCAGTATGGAAGCAAATTATTATTTTTTATCTAAAACATAGATGTCACTGGTGATAACTTAAAATTTTTCACACAAAACAGGTTATTTTATTATATAAAAAGAATTTAAATCAATCCTAAATATAAATTAACCATTAATAATTAATTAATAATTGACCATATGCAAGGAATGCGGTCGATGTTGCCAATGGTAAAAAAATAAAATTCCCTATTGGGAACATTCAATTATATTACGTTGGCTACACTGAAATTTTGAATTTCCCGCAGAAACTGACATACATTCTAGTAGTTCCCAGAGATAAAGAAGGTAGTTCCAATGTTGTATAATAAATTAAGGTGCGAATTTAAAATGTGGGAATTATTATTATTTATTATTATTAAAAAAAACATGAAAATTAATTTAGTTTGTGCGGGAAATTCAAATTTTCAATGTAGCCAACGTAATATAATTGAATGTTCCCAACAGGGAATTTTAATTTTTTACCATTGGCAACATCAACCGCATTCCTTGCATATGGTCAATTAACCAAGGACAACATTGTATATATACTTCTTCTTCTTTAGATATTGGTCTTTCTGATTATTTGGGGGTGCTCATGATCAGTGTTGCCAATTGCTTTTGGCAAAATTACACCCAAACTCTCCAGAATTACACCACATTACACCCCAACAAAAATTAAGCCTGATTTTAAATCAGTGATTTATAACATGGAAAATGTCGTATGCTCGAAACCCATATTTTTTTGCAAAAATAATACGTTATCATGATTCAGGGATGTCCAAACTATTATTTATTATTATTATTGTTAATTTTCAATGCCCACCGTTTTTCAAATTAAAAAAACGCTTGTTTTCATAGATTGCATTTCTTCTGCGTGAAAACATAAACAATAAAGTTATAAAGTTATAAAGTGCTCTTTTAGTTCCACCCTTACATCCAAACTAAGATGTCCCATAAGCCAACTGAATGGCTTGTGCGGGTTAGGGGTAGGAACGGACCGACGGCTTAAAGTCCCCTCCGAAGGACTAAACAATACGCAAGCATTTACAAATTGACAGCGTTAATCTATAAATGGAAATACGGCATTTCTAAAAATAATTTTAGATTTAAAGGTACAATTGTATATTGAGAATGAGATAGCTGTACTATCCTTTTTTTATGGCTGTACTAAATAACAATTACCTTTAAAAGCCAGCGATCCATTTTTAAATAACAAAACCAAAATTGACATTCTACAACATTCACAACTTTAATTAAAATATCATTAAGGTATAACCAAAAAATAATTTTAGTGTAAAATTATTTGTCTTAAGAAAGCTTTCTTCTCTAGAGATAAAATTTCTTGTGAACGCAAGGAAATACGTAAATACGCGCATGTGTCACAAACAGCTGTTGTTAGCGAAAGCCAATAAGAACGGCGAAGCTGCTATATCGTCGATGATACTTGCGCAAAACCGCTTTGCAGCGTTAAAAACACTAGTTAGAACGAAAAGGAAGATTCCGAGGGGCGTGGCCACTTCTTTACCCATAATACCTAATACTACATACATATTATGATATTAAATCCAGGGATTCCCCTTTTTACAAAATGAATTATATTTTAATCACATTTAAAACTTCCCTTAAATAAAAATAGTTACGTTTTAAATGATCCGTCCAAAATTACACCCAAATTACACCGCTTTCAAAAATGTTAGAAAATTACACCACAGTCAGTAAATTACACCCAAATGGTGTAATTACACCGCAATTGGCAACACTGCTCATGATATATATTTCGCTGTTGCTAGTGCACCGCGTGCGGTGTAGGTAATATTCTGCACCGCCAAATTATATATTACGTCATAAACCTAAACCAACCCAAACTCAACAACACAACCCAACCGACCCCGCCCCATTGAGCAAAAAACCCAACTAAAATGGGCAAATTTATGTTACGATAAAAATAAAACACTTTAACAAAGGAACAACAAATTTATGAAATAAAAAAAGTTCGACAACTTCTGGTAGATTTTATGTTACGATAAAACTAAAACAAATTAACCAACCCAACCCAACCCAGGTAACCAAACGTGACTAACATTTTTAAATGTGACGTTAACGTGGCCAATATCTTAACTATAAAGTTGTGACCTATATATCTTTAACGAAAATTAATAATTTTGGAAATGTCGATTTGATATAGAATCTGCCTTTACCAATGCTTTCACGATTTTCCATAGACTTACTTTGATAAATTAATCGTTATATAAACGTGACTTTATTGTCACGTTATAAAGTTATAACAAAAGTCACGGTATACCGTGACTTTAACTTTACGATTTACCGTGTCTTTAGCTACCCTCTTAACTCTTTATTCAATTCGCCATTATTGTCAAATAAGTACCTAGGTAGGTACCTATATTGATCTGATTTAGTTCTGTTTAGTGTTCCCGTGCAACTAATTTGTTTTGAAATTGGTTTATTTAAAAATTATTAGCTTGTGTTTAGTTTTTATTATATATTATTTTCTTTGGAAGGCGTTAAGGGCCCCACAGACATCGTTCTTTTTGCACGGTTTGGAAGGAACAGGTAAAACTGTACGGTTCAGAACGATGGAACGTTGTCGACACACACAGTGCATTTTTGTGTCAGTTTTGAACGTGAAATCATGCAAGAAGAACGTCTTAAATTACTTGCAGTGGCGGCGGTTTTAGCTTACAAAAAAATCGTTCGAAAAATCGCGACCATTGCTTCGTAGGCTTTATCTTTTTTGGTTCTGTCGCTATACTCTTTACTTTTGACTTTCCAAAGGCACGGTAGACTGCGGTACAGTTCAATAAATTCGGTTAAATCTTTATTCATATGCCGTATATCAGCCATGATTCACGAACATTGAGCACTAAGCCGCCACTGATCACAGAAGTTCTGTGACAGAACTATACCTAGAAAGTTTCTAGTAGAAACTTAAGTTGTGAGAATAAATTGGTAAAATCAGTTGGCAACAGAGACAAGGGTTGTCTTGTCTCTGGTTGGCAACACTGACGACGTATGACGTTTCTTCATAGATGCGTTTCTTTGTTGTAATAATAGTTGTCAAAAATATTTTTTTAAAGAAAACTCATAAATTATGGGAAACGTTGATACAAAATTGAATTTTCGTAAAGCCGTGGTGCAATTAACGTCAAAATCTGAGGTATTTAATAAAATTAAAATAATCAGCTTTACATTTCATTAAAATAGCTTAATTAGTTTTATTAACATATGCTGAATTGGCCAATAAATCACTTTAGCTAAATCTTGATATTTAACCATTAGATGACCTAAAATAATGGCAACATTTTTATAAAATGAAAAATACTGTTTTTACTACAGCATAAGCTGATATTCTTAAAACAGTTATAGCTATAGCTATCTTAAATTGACATTTTTAAGACAGTTATATCTTGCTTAGGTTGACATTCTTAATACTGTTATATATTAAGCTTAAGTTGACATTCTTAAGGCAGTTATAGCCAACTTAGGTTAATTTTCTTAATACAGTTACATTTAAAAAAATTGATATTCATATAGCTAGTTAACTTGACATTTTTTAAGTCATGTAAATATTGCTTCAATTCAGATAGTTATATCTGTATTTGTGTTTTTAGAGTTATATCTGTATTTAAATATTATCCAAAATTATCCACATTCAACAAAAAAATATAAAAATGTTGTTCTGCAGTAGGTGTATTTTTTTAGCCTATAGATGCAAATGATGACTCTTTTTGGGAACAATTTTGGTCAGAAAACGTAACAAACGTACAGGATATTTTTACGTTGGTTCCCGCGGCCGAAATAAGGGCTTTAAGGGAAGATGCGCCATCAAATCTGGCAACATTGTGCTATAAGGCGGTCGAGAAGATGGTCAAAGCCGTTGATAGTAGCTGCAGAACCCAACACGAGCAACAGACAGGTTGGTGGTGATAACAATGATTGTTTTTTAGATTTTAGGGAAAATTGAAAGAAAATAAATATTTTTGCAGTTTTAAATTGTACAAGACTGTTGACAAGGATTTTGCCGTATATTTTTGAGGATCCCGAATGGAAGGGATTTTTTTGGTCATCTTTACCAACTTCCGGTGAAGATGATGATTCCATTCCACTGGCACAGTCTTTGCTTAATGCTATAAGTGTGAGTACTTTTTAATTTTTAATAAGATTTTTTTAATTCCTCACCAAAATTAAGCAAATAAAATGATTTAACCTGCTTAGGGGACATCCATTAATTACGTGAGGTATTTTTCTAAAAATTTGGACCACCCCTCCCCCTTTGTGAGATTTGGTGAGATGTGGTAGACCCCCCCTATCCCTCACATGAGATTTTTGCCATTAAACTTTCTTTGCGGACATGTAAAAAAAAATTATTAATTTTTTTTAACAAATTTGAATTATAATACATACTCGTATTTTTTAAATTCAAAATTTGACGATATTTTAAATGCCCCCCTCCCTTAAAATGAAATTTGGTAAGATTTTGCTGGACCCCTCACCCCTATTTTTGTCTCACGTAATTAATGGTTGTCCCCTTAAGAATCCTAAAAATAGAGATAAAAAATGGTATATTTGTTATAGGACTTGCTATTCTGTCCAGACTTTACCGTAGTCGCAAGCCGAAAAAGCGGACCAGTAAGTAAAAACAAACAAATAAATTATACCTAAATTCCTCTTTAAATTCCAAGACGAAATTTCCTTTACCATTTTATAGAAGTTATTAACTTTTGAATCTTTAAAACGCCCATTATCATAATAATGTATTTATTTAGCATCTGTGCTACATAAAAATAACAATTTACATATTTACATTAAAAATTACAACAAAAAAAATAGAAAAGTTTACAAGCAGATTTTTAACAAAACATTTTTATATATAGAAACTAAATCTTAATTGCAACATTTAGCTTAAAACAGAAGTTTTTTGAACTGATTTATATTATCACAGTTTTGAATATTCACAGGTACAGGTAAATAAGAGTTTAACATTTTTGTGGTATTACATCTATCTAGTAAAATAAAGTCTGTACAATTTCTAGTTTTATAATAATGTAGCTAAAAACTTTTAATTTATCACAGATATAGGTATTCAGGTAACCAACTTTGTTTTAGTTTGAATATTAATAAATTTAAATTAAACATAATTGTTTGTTTGACAGACAACATGTTTAGGACACTCAATATATACATATAATAGGTTTATAATGGTTATTGGTATATTGTACCAACGTTTCTTAGTAAACCTAAAGAAACGCGTTGTCGGCAATAACAAGCTGCAACAGTAAGCCAATAACTTGGAAGTCCAAAACATTTCCCATCAGTTGCAGTTGCACCTTTTCCAATAATTTCTGATTAAGAGTTGTATTCAACAGAGGTGTAAGCGACGGGCAACACATTTCCTAAAATACCTTGTTCGTCAGTTGCATATATACATATAATAGGTTTATAAAGGTTATTGGTATATTGTACCAACGTTTCTTAGTAAACCTAAAGAAACGCGTTGTCGGCAATAACAAGCTGCAACAGTAAGCTAATAACTTGGAAGTCCAAAACATTTCCCATCAGTTGCAGTTGCACCTTTTCCAATAATTTCTGATTAAGAGTTGTATTCAACAGAGGTGTAACCGACGGGCAACACATTTCCTAAAATACCTTTTCCAATAATTTCTGATTAAGAGTTGTATTCAACAGAGGTGTAACCGACGGGCAACACATTTCCTAAAATACCTTGTTCGTCAGTTGCATGAAAACTGCAAGAAATTTGTTTCCGCCCAAGATAGCCGCGTATTTTCAATAGTTTCCAGTCAACAATTGTATGCAACAGAGGTGCAACCGACGGCCAACATATTTCCCACAATAATGAACCGCGCTTGCGCGAGAGTCGCCGCTACCGTTAAAGCGTTGCTCACCATTTGTTCTTTATAATTTATGGTTTGATCTGCGAGTGTGTGTACGACGTGTATAAACAAGAAATCTATCAGGTATGTTTTATGCACGTAATAGGGGTGACATTCACAATATCGAAATTCATTATATCGAATTCAAAATATCGAACACTTTTTATCGAAAATCAAAATATCGAAAATACAAAATGTCGAAGATCAAAATATCGAAAATTCAAAATGTCGAAAATGATGATATCGAAAATTAAAATGTCGATTTGAAAATGTCGAATAATTAAAGGTAGTGTCTCCCCGACCGTCGGACGGACGTAGAAAAGTGTGTGCTCGACCGTCGGACGGACGTAGAAATGTGTGTGCTCAATCGTCGCATATTTTAACCTCATTTTCAACTAGAGGCTAAATGTAGCAAAGTATTCCTCAAGGTTATGACGAATAGCTGTCATTTTGGTTATGCAGGTACACTGCATTGTGCCATACCAAACTAACCCAAACTTAACAACCCAACCCAACCGACCCCGCCCCATTGGGCCCCTCCCGCCCCATTGTCACAATCCAGCCTGCCCTTAGATATATTATACCTCTATTGCTCAATGGGGCGGGAGGGGCCCAATGGGGCGGGGTCGGTTGGGTTGGGTTGTTAAGTTTGGGTTGGTTTGGCATGGCACAATGCAGTGTACCTGCATAACCAAGATGACAGCTATTCGTCATAACCTGTATGACAGCGGTCGAGATTTTATTTTCGATAAATTGAAAATTCGATTAAATAAAATTTCGACATTTTCAAATCGACATTTTAATTTTCGATATTATGATTTTCGACATTTTGTATTTTCGATATTTTGATTTTCGATAAAAAGTGTTCGATATTTTAAATTCGATATAATGAATGTCACCCACGTAATAGTTATCTATTAGCTATAGCTATATGTATATATATATATATATATATGTATATATATATATATATATATATATATATATATATATACATCCCTAATACAATATTGCGTCATTACAATTCGCGACCTTATTGCGTCTACTAGAAATACGGTATTTAGCGAAAATATAGAAGAGTATATTGGCGTACTTTTTTTTGCTGATTCCAAAAATCTGGTCAGATTTTTTTTATCTTAAAAAATAAGATATACACTTTTTTTTCAAAAGTCACTACATTATCAACTCATTTTAATCTTGATATAATATTGCGTCACGTGTATATTTCATTTTAAATTTTATATGGCTTGTACAGACTTTATTCCGTCCTACAGTGTTGCCAAATTGTAATGACGCAATATTGTACTAAGGATGTATATTTATGTATATGTATATATATATATATATATATCCGTAATACAATATTGCGTCATTACATTTCGCGACCTTATTGCGTCTCCTAGAAATACGGTATTTAGCGAGTCAACTTTAATAAGATATAAATGAATTTTTAACATGTGATTTTTCTTCTATGTAATTTTTAATATTGATATTTTGCATGTTTATAAAATAATGTCTGTATTAGAAATGTGAGGTTTAAAAAGTTTTAATTAATTTTATATTAAATTTTAAATATCCCTATTATTTTTTAAACCTTCAAAGTTTTAGTTTCTATTTTTTTCTTGCTATACATTTTAACATAAATAATTACCATTAATATTATAGTAATTTTTTTTTAAGGGTATATTTTTAAGGCTATATTTGTTCGTATTATTAATGAAAAATAGCATACTTACTTTACTAAGAGAAATAGTAAAGAAAAGTGTACATTTTCTGGTTAGCAAAACTTTTTTACCCAGCAACACTTTTATTAAGCACATTTGAAAAATCGTAAAGAAAAGTATTATATTAATCAATGCTTTTTCATGACACTAGCAGCATAAATTCGACTTTTGCTTAACATAAGTTCTTTAATAATTAATATTATTAATTAAGCCAATTATTGTCTTTAGTTTGGTATATTTTTGTTTATAAATTAACTTAAATATTAACAATTTTTCTCTCTTAAAGGGCAGCGAAAGTCGAATTTTCATTTTGTCATAAAAAATAGTGTACATATTTCGTGGTGAAAGGCGGCCATTTCTAAATAGTGTATTCTACATTCGCCTCGCTCGTGCAGCAAAGCTCACGATTGGTCATAGAAAACCGCATAATAGTTTTCTAAGTGTAACTCGAGTCCGGCAAATTTCGATACATTTTCTGATTTATACGACAAGATCTCATCTGAAAACTCCTCCAAATCATCGGAGTCGTCGAGTTCCATCACGATAGAGTCGGAGGAGGATACAGTGCTTGTGCTAGTAGCTACTAGCTTGATCCATGCATAGCTTCTGTTTATAGTCAAGGTCGACTTGGAATTTTTGCAAGGTGTTTTCTTCGGTGTTTTCCTTGTACTGCCTATAAATCTTTTTAATCGGCCAGTACTTACTCTACCGTCGGACTGATCTAAAAGCCAGCAGTACGATGATTTTTTAATAATTAAATATATAATATTATATAGGTACGGTGATTTTTCCGATTCACTGTTTTTTAGAAAAGTCTTTTAAACTTATAAAACTCGTTTCCAAAGTATCACATTCGCTATCTTCATTAGAAATCTCGTTCGAAATTAAATCCATAACTTCATCCATAACTTTATCGTCCTCATTACTAATATTTGTTTTTGCCAATTTTCTTCGGAGTTTTCGACAATTTTAGCGTTGTCTTCGTCGGCGTCTTCATTATCCTGTGTAATTGCAATATTTTGTTTCCGTCTTATTAACGGTTAACGGTACCTACCTGCATATATTTCCAATCGTTTTCTTTTTCATTAATTCCAAGATGTTTCATGTCCTCTATGACATTTTGTAGAGCTTTTTTAACTGTAGATTTGATATCCAAATTTAAAATTTCTTCTTCACGTGGTAAATTTTCTTTTATTAGTCTGGTTTTTATTCTTTTGTCTTCCCTTGGAAATGTAAAAGTCCCCCTCAGATTGTTTATGGTATCAGTTGTCTTAATTCTCTTAATTCGGTTCAGCATATCCATGATACTATACTATTTTATAAAATGTATTATTGTTGAATACGTAAAAGTCATGGATCTGGCAGCCCGAAATAAGGATTCACATGCTTGGCTACCAAAAATGCCGGTGATGAACATATCTGGTTTTAACTCACCGCTGTTAAGCTTCAGTATTAGTTTAATCAAAGCATGGGCGTTTCGATGCAAAGGTTACAATTACTGGTCAAAAAGTTGTCTGTTATTTTATATTCTTTTTGTTCTTTAATCCAGGCTTTCCAGATTCTAGTAAAAAATACAACATACCAGATGTGATATAATCTAGTATGCAACACAGTGCTGGAATTTAAGAACGACGATTCGATGTAGTACATTAGCTTGAGATACGCCACGCTCTATTTAATTTGTAGAATTTCCTTATTTAGTCGTTCAATTACTATCAAACTGCACATCTTGTCTTCACTTTTGAGATCCGAATCTGTCAGGAGATGTTTGTCTTTTGGAAACTTTAAAATTAATTCCCTGAGATGACCAGAGAAGACAGTGTATTTCCCAATTGGCAGATGTATTTCTGGTTTTAGGAAACGAGTAATAATTTTTGTTAAAATATGGGTGGTGTGCTGTACACAACATTCTTCATTTTTTTCAATGCTGCAGTGGTACTACTCCCAATCTGGAACTGGCAAAGAATGGAGTAGCTCTGTAACTTCCGGTTTTTTTTGTTTTTTCTTTATATTC